TTTAACAAATGCTACTTGTATCCCATGTCAATTTTATTTTCACAATAAATATACCCCACGGCAAAACAAAACGAAGTGGTTGTTATATGTTAAATAATGTTCAATTGTTGTTGAAAATATGACAAAATTGCAATTCATGTTACCAAATTATTTTTAAAAAATGCTACTTGTATACCATATCAATTTTATTTTTCACGACAAATATACCTCACGCCAATACAAAAATCCCATTAATCAGATAATGATGAAAGTCTAAGAATAAAACGAGGTCTCCCAATTCTTAAAACTGTGCATTTCGATTACTGAAGATTACTAAACAATTGCAATTAATTAAGGAATGTGCCAACTGAAAAGTATTAAAAGCATTCACTGCTACATCACGCAGTGGATAATCCCGAGACTATACGAACGATTACGGTATCGTTAATCTCATTGGTACAAGCCATAATCCCTCATCTCTATGTCTAATGTTTCTCTCCATATTTGCACGAGTCATTAAACCTGAAGCGGAAGCCTCAGCAAATAAAGCTGCGTTTGATAAGTTCGTGGCGAGGGAAATTAATCAACAATCTAAAATCGTTTATCGACGAATTTATAGCCTTACCTCGATTCCGTTAATTTAGCGAACAATGCTAGCGCATCAACGTTCACTCGTTGCGTCTGCTGTTTCCAGTTAAGCTGAATTAAAACGACTTATAATCGAGTCCTCGTCTCAAGATCCACTCTTCTCCCTTTTTCTCTCTAGCCACTCTCGTTCCTATTTTCATCCCTCGGCCACGTCGCGTTATTTTCGCCCAAAGAAAAGAGATGCTATCTCCTTAGAAGACGATGGGACTCGCAGTAATTTTTATTATATTCTTGCGTCCTTCTTCGTCATCTTATACTGTAATCTAGTAAGATTAATCGACTAATATCATCAATCTAATTAACATATACTTCAGCTTCAATCTCTCCTTTCACAATGGAATAGCGATTAATTTTTCATTTTTATAGTTACAGTGTACATTTTATTATCATCTTTTTGAATTAACTTTAAAGATAAATATCAAAGAATAATTGGTATCCTTGTCTAGTAATAACATTAAATTGATTGATGTTAGTTTCTCTGTTTTTCAGTTGTACAAGAAAATTCAATTTAATAAGTAATTCAGTCTTTAAGTATGATGTTTATTTGTTTTATTAACGTTTAGTACTTATGTCTTAAAAACATTTCACTTTACTTTCCTTTCATAAAATTTTTACAAAACTCGATTCTAGTTTCTTTCTACAATCTTTCAGTTCTGAATTTTACGATGTGCAATTACCATTATAATTAATTTTTAAGGTTCTGTTACACCTAAGATAGCCTATATAGCCTCCTACTTACTTCTTCGATACATTTTGATTCGATTTTGATTTATTTCTATAATTGTTCGGTTTCTTAATGTTTATCCTTTCGATGGCACGGTTACAATTATTTTACAAGATTCTACTACCACGATGCATCCTTAAAATCAAGTACCTCGAGAACTGAAATACTAATTTAAAAATGAAGTAGAACGAATGTTGTACATTATATTCAAGAGCACGTAACGGTAAACGATTTAATGACATTACTAAGAAAAATAACTTTATGATATTTGTGGTCGAAACGTTATAAAGAATAAAATTACTCCTGTTGTGTATTCTCGATTAAATTAAATATTTCAACACGATTTTTTTTTTTTTTTTTTTTTTTTTTTTTTAAGTACTGTAAATTGTCGATGTACACTTTAACACGTTGATTGCCGCGTCATATTTTCTAGACGCTGCGCACGTATAATTTAATGACGAAAAGATTGACTGCAATCGGTCATACTGTCCCATGTGCACTCAATTGCCTGGTAATCTAATCTTAATCTATTCTAATGTAAGCTATGAAGTCAACGGCTCGCGTCCAAAAGCATCCACTGCGAAGACAAACACGACGCATAATGATCACACATTGATTCTTTATTGGACGGGTGTCCGATTACCAACGACAATAACGCGGAAGATTTAAAAATCTGGACAAACGGAGATCGTACGAAAACACATTGTGCCAGTAGATATCTTCGGTAAATGGACTTGAATTAATTTTCATACAGTCTGTTTAACACGTTGACCGGCATGTCGCCCATACATGGGCGACAGTGGTGTTTACTAAAGAAGTTAAAAAATTAATTTTGAAAGTTAAATATCAAATATCAAAGAAAATGAATCTATACGAAACATTTTAATTTCGGCGAAGTTACAAAATGAAATACCGCAATAAACGTTTGATTACGTGGTCTCCAACAGTCAGTAAATATAATTCAATCGCAGTAGAAATTTTTAAGAGTATTAGCGTGGCAGTCAACGTGTTAAACCATCCTGTCCGGAAAGTGACGCGTAAAGAGTACAAAGAGAGCTACATTCTGAACCTCATCGAACACTTGCACCTTCTCTAACTAACAACAATGGATGTACCCTTCAAACAAACGTCACGAAGTGGTTTCTTCGATCGAATAATTTTTATTTCGCATTCTTGGTCTTCGAATACGTTCTACAAGAAGTAGAGTTAACCGATTTGTGCAGTGAACGACTCGTATAGATCCGAGGGAAATCCAAAGCGTTGCTCTAAATGTGGAACTCTCGTTGCAACAACAACGTTTTGATCGAACCTCGAGGAAGGAAAACGTCGCAACGAGCTATTATTGCGAGAAAAAAACGACGCGGAGACGGAAAAAGGGTGCGAAAGAGGACGATGGAAGGAGAAAGAGCGAGGGAACGTACGCATAGAGAAGTGTTGAGCGTCGTGCGTATTCAGTTACGTCCGGTGCGTCGCGCCGTCGAGACGCGCCGTTTCGGCAACAAGTTTCGTAAGCGTGCTACTCGCGATGTGCCTCCTCCACGTGCCCCTCCCCCGATACCTTCGTAATCCACGTGAAAGAGGTGACAAATCGTCGACCGATCGCTAATGGTCGTTTTTCATTCGCGAACGATTGCTAGAAACCAACAAGTGCCGCTGAAACGATCGATGAGTTCCATAAACACGGCGGTGTTAACTTGAAACGAACCGTTCGAAATTCCCTGAACAAAAAGCACGTAGGCGTGCGGAGGAAAATGAGGATTCGATCACGCATTACGGCGTGTGCCGCCACGACGTTCATAGTGATCGGATAATAATATAGAAGAGAAAAAGACACGAGCGGATCGCTGTTTGTGTTTACACGGTGCGGCGGCGGCTGTCGACTGCAAAATTGAATAATTGGATAATATCGAGTGAGAGATTCAGTGGGCTTCTGTTCTTCGATTAGCCCGCCACTTGGTTGCTTCAGAAGTGTACCTTTGATCTCGAATCCTCTTCCCGAGGAACGAATCCCTCTAATCGAGTAATATCGACGCGTTCGATTAATCTCGTTTCTGGTTTGATCGTCCCTAGAACAATCCGCAGGTAGTTCTGCAGCTCTCGATTTCGTATAGTTTGGAGACCTTGCGTAAAATAGGGAAATAGATTTATTTGCGTGTTAGAGAGGCTGGAACGTAATGTCGTTTCTTTTACATTAAATTCGAACAGATACATTTTTAACAAGTTTCCATTACGAAATTGCTCCTCGTTATCGACAACCTTTTGCTATCTGGTGCACATTGTGGTGTGCATTTTCAATGCCGGATAAAAATCAACGGGCTTATGAATGATAAACAAAGGTATCGAAATTCGCAGAAACGACATTATTTTCCAGTCCACCTAATAAGTTGGTACGGGGTAGATGGCTGACGTGTAACCATTTGAATAGAGATTTGCTAGGATGGCATTCTCGCCAACCACCCGGTCGCAGAGAGATAAAACAAGGAAAAATGTCGGACTAAGAAGATTTAGGAAATTGTAGCGACAAGTACATTGAGATAACAGAAAAAAGAGATGCAGTTGAACTTAGCATTTTTCTTTTGTCCGTTACTGGGGTCCATTCGTGCCAATTTATGGCAACTTTGAGATAACAAACATCCATCTCCCTTGTATTTAATTCATTGTTCAGTTTCAAATGAATGATTCTCGGTTTGGTCTGGGTCACCCAAACTTTCACTTTCACCCATTTACCAGTTCAAGAATCGTAATTAAATTCAGTGTTTCGCGCGTTCATGGTGTATATGCTAACACGTGCAGAATACACTTAATTGAAACGGTACGACAATATTAACATTTTCCTTTACACGAGTGCATACAAGCCATAAACGCATAAAATCCTGTCTAGTTAGAATTTATTACAAAGAAGGTTAACGTCTTTGAGATACGCATGAACGACCCTGAAAAAGAAAAGGATAAATCTGAATACCAGCGGTATCCTAAACGTTGCTCTAAGTTTGACTTTACTTATATAATTCCTACTTAATACTACTTTTCATCCAAAGAAAGGTTTCAGAATTACGCTAACCTTTTCAGACCTGGCGTCCACAATTGAGCCGACGCTATCGTTATGGCGAATGTCCTTATTTGTGCGCATGAAGAAAGACCAGTTTTTCTCGAAAGCTACCCTATTAGGATTTTTTTATTTTTTTATTTTTTTTTATTTTTTCCTTACTAATTTTAGTCCAAGTGAACCCTAAGAATGAAATTACATTAGTAAGAAAGAAAAGTTTATTAGCTGTCCTCGATAATATTGTTTCTCTTTCGAGCCAGCAGTTTTTTGGTTACATATCGTACTCAGAGAAAAATGTACGTTTTATGGGAATGAGCCCATAGCAAGCCAAATATGCGCCATATGCGCCAAGAGCAATGGGAAATTGGTGGTAGGTAGATAGTAAATAACTGTTAGAGATTTAATTCAGTTGGACTTTTAATAAATGTTTATTACCTGCCTTTGATAATTGCTCTCCGTTTGAGTCGGCAGTTTTTTGGTCGCATTTTGTTCGAATTCCAGCAATATCATAAATGAAGAAGTATATAATTGAAGAAGTATATACTTACCGAGGACTTCTATATTTCATCTACAATTTTACACATCGCTAAGCGCTAGAATAAATCTGACTTCCAGCGATATCCAGCACGTTGCCTCAAGAAGTATGACTACGTATACGTTTCATATGCAACGCTACTTTCCACGGAAAGGAAGCTTTTCGAAATTACGCGAAACCCTCGGAAATACGTTCGAACGACGCCGAAGAAGACGATAAATTCAAATTCCAGCAACATCCAGCACGCCATTCCAAAGAGCGTGACTCTGCGCATTTCATTTCTGCCGCTTTTGATCCAGATAAAGTTTCCAAGTGTTCTCCGTTCGCTTTTCGCGAGGAAAGAGGAATGCGAGACCGTATCAAGAGCCTTTCCTCGAACGTCAACGCTGCACCGAACTTTTCATTGTTCGCACGGTTGTTGCACGTTGCTCGATGCACGTCTGATGCACCGCTGATGCGTTTCTGAGTACACGAGGTTGAAAGGAACGTGACGACACGCCTCGCTCGAGCACGTGCATCGCGGATAACGAGATCGTTCCGCTAATAAACCGTGGAACGCGATCGTTCGATCGTCCAAGAGATCGTGATCGTGAATCGTATCCATCCCGACACCGGTGCCATCCGCGAAACGATCATAAACGCCTATCGAATATTCTCGGGTACACGAACCACGTATCGTTTCGCTTCGTTTGAAGAAAGATAAGACCGATTGCTGCACGAGTACGGCCGGTTTAAGAGAAGATATCGAGGAGCAAATGCTATTATTGTTCTCCAAGATCTTTCTATATTTTATACATATAGCTCTTAAGAGAAGAAAAAGCGAAACAAGGAACTTGCGATTTCTTGAAACTGCAGCGCGTCCGGTGGACGATGTGTACGTAATTTTATTTCGGAGCGAAAAGAACTTTACCAACACTCACGGCGAGAAATATCTATAAAAATAAAACAAACAACCGCAAAGAGCCTACACCAGACGCGTTCTTTTAAATTCTAGTTTTGATTACTATATATCCATTAAACCTATTAGTTCGCGTTGCAAAGCGATAACGCGAAATCAATAACGACACTAAATGCGCAAATAGAGGCAAACATTTAACCGTCGAAGCTTCGTCGACGTGTAATTGCTACGATTATTTTGTCGGGTTTCGGAGTCGATCGGTCCCGCATTTAAATCGTCGCGAACAGTGATCCGTTGATCCCGGGGAAATCATAGTTCGGTGTATCGTCGAGGTGCCGCGATACGGATGACGAATGTCGAGTGTAATTACGCTAGTGGTTCCACGAGGTTGTGCTGCAATTGTATTCGCGGCTCAATTGGTAACGGTAATTAGTGATTCCACCGGCGTGTTTGCAGCGTTGTGCGCGAATTGATGCGATTTGGATGATGTTAACGGCTGGAAGCGTGGACGTCATGGCGTGCATTAGGGCACCAAGGTCCGTCTGCGAATCCAGCGACGACATCAAGGCTGATTCAACCCGCAATGTCATACAGGTACGGCCGCCTCTGTCTTAGCATACAAATATCCGTGCCCATTCGCGCGTGAACCATAGATTCTCCGAGTAACCGTGGATCCATTATGGTTCCATCCACCGTAGGATTTAGAGTTCGTTATGGCCCTGAACTATAGATGTCGGCCAGGTCTTAGGTAATAGTTTCGAAAGGAACCAGGGCTTGAAGAAAAATTTAATTTGTAAACGTGTTATGAATAGCTTTGATAATGTATCTAAAACGAAGTAAGGTTCCAAGACGAATTTAATTTATAAATATGTTGCGAATAGCTTTGATAATATATATAAAAGGAAGTAGGGTTCTAAGACGAATTTAATTTATAAATATGTTGCGAATAGCTTTGATGATATTTTTAA